ACCCTCCCCCCTCTCATGTACTCTCGCTCTCTCAAATAAATAAATCAATCTTTTAAAATAATAATAATAATAAATAGCTAAAAAGGACATTTTGGGAATAACTGGAGAAATCAGAATATGAGCTATATATTAAATATTAGTTATATATTAAATAATATTGGTATCAATATCATTATTATCAACGTTAAACTTTTCAAGTGTGATATTGGTGCTGTGTTATATACGAGAATGTCTTTGTTCTTAGGAAACACCAGCTAAAATGTTTAGGAGTAAAGTGTTACGTCCACAACTTAGTTTCAAATTGTTCAGAAAAAAAAAAAGCGTGTGTATACTTGTATAAACGCATCCATATCCGAGAGTGAAGACAAAGCAAATGTGCTGGAAGCTAATAACTGATGAACTAGGTGGTGAAGGGCATATAACTGATGACTGTACCATTCTTCCTTTTATTTTTAATAACTTAAACTTTTTTTGTTATTTTTTAGTAATCTCTACTCCCAACATGGGGCTTGAACTCATGATCCCGAGATCCAGCGTCACATGCCCTCTGACTGAGCCAGCCAGGCACCCCTATACCATTTTTTCTTCCAACTGTTCTGAGGGTCTGACATTTTTTTAAAAAGGGGGAAAAAATGTCTCCAGAAACTGACCCCTCCTCCCCACTCACCTGCCACCTGGAGTACTGGGGTCACCTCCTCCCTGCATTCAACCTCACCCTATGATTGCCAAAGGGATCCTATTAACATATGCCTCAGACCCTGTCCCTCTGCTGATACCCTCCAGTGAGTCCCGTCTACTCAAGAGTAATGCCAAAGCACTGCAGTGGCCCAAAGGCCCTGCACAATCTGCCTCTCTCTCCACCGGTTTCTCCTCTCCCCAGTCTCCACTCAGTCCCTTTGCTCTGCCACATTGGCCTCCTCGCCGTTCATCAAACCTACCAGGCAAACTCTCACCTCAGGGCCTTTGCATGTGTGAAAATGCTTTTTCTTAGATACCTGCACTGCTGGCTCCTTCCTATCCTCCTCATATTCTCACTGAGGTCTCCCTGACACCCTATCTAAACTTCCAACCTTCCCCCAGACAGTCCTCTTTTTGCAACCCTAATGTTTTCTCCAGAGCAAGAACGGCTAGCTAATATAATTCATATTTTAACTATTTATTTTGTTTATTGGCTGGCTACCCCCCACCCCGTCCCTGCCCCAAGAATGTAAAATTCCCAAGGACAAGATCGTTTGCCTTTTCTTCTTTTCTGTATCCACATCATCTACACAACAGCCATATCTTGGTGCCACCCCCTGACTTAACATTTTATATCCATTTACTCCTCACAACAACGTAAGTATTATTTACAGCATAAATGCACATAGAGCCTATACACAAAGTGGGAATAATAACAGTGCCTACCTCATAATTTGTGAGGATTTAATGCTGGAAGGCCTGTGACGTGCTTAGCATACGGCCTGGCACAAAGCCGAGTGCCCATTAAATGCTGCTATTATATAAAACCCATTGTACAGGAGAGAAAACCGAAGCTCCGAGGGGGTAAGTAACTCAGCCAGGGAGTCGTGGGGCCCAGATTAGAATCCATGGCAGTCTGACCCAAGAGGCCACTTTCTACACCAGGGCGCTAAAACCCATCGCAGGGTTTAGAGGAAAGGCAGTGGCAGGAAACAGAAACTAACTCTGGGAATCCAGAGTGCAGGACTCAAGCGCTGATTCTTGGCATAAACTCCACGTGTGACCTGAGCAATTCACTTCTGGTCTCGAGGCCTGTTTTCTCTTCTATAAAGTGGGGAAGTCATTTCCCCTCCCTGACGTGGGGACAAAAACAGAGTGAGGGTCAAAGGGCGGATAGGAGGGCAGTCTGGTTACTGTGAAATCCGACGTTTCGCCATTCTAAGATCTGCACCTCTGGCAGAGGCCCCACAAAACACCAAAGGACCAAGAATTCCGCAAACTTTAAGCACCCAAACTTATAAGGAAAAAAGGTACGCTCCCCTTAGCCATTTGGCCTTTGAGCATGCTCCCCGCTCTCCCTCGACATCATCCCTGCTGTCTGGGGAGATTCTCCTCACCCTTCAGGCCCCAGCCCAGAGGCCTCCGCTGCCAGGAAGCCCTCCCTGAAGGCCATGCCAGGTTAGGTACCTCACCTCCCAGGACCGGGGAGGCGGGGCGGGTGGCAACTGGAGCACGGGGTGGGGTTTTGGAAACCAAACTACCTAAGGATGGCCCGGCAAACCACCCGGGCAGTCTCTCCTCGGTCCCGCCCCTAACTCCTCTCAGTCCTGGGATGTCCCACCCATATTACTCCCGTCCCCCAAACTATTGGTTCGTCTGGACGTCAGTCTCCACGCGCTCTCTTCTCTATTGGCTGGTATTCCCAACTCGGGCGCTGGTGCCCTGCCCTGCCCCCTGCCCCACGCCTATTCGTACTATTGGGCTACCCGCATGCCCTTCTTCCAGAAACCCTCCCTATTGGCTGCAGGACTTTGCCGGTTCAGGCTGTGATTGGTTGTAAACAGAAGTCCATCCCCTGAGCAACCACCAGAGAGGGGTTGGAGAATGAAAAGGTTGGAGGGACGTGGGGTCAAACTCACGCTGAGCCGGCGGGAGACAGATATAGGTCTTGAAGAACTCGCTTCGGCGAGCGGCCTCCTTAATGCGGTTGGCAAGCGGCTTGCTGACCTGCCGGATGCCCAGGTATAGCAGCTTCGCCATAGGGAACGCGCCCACCACCATCTTGGCGGTCGCACTGGGCACGCGCAACCTTGCTGACTGGGCGGGGCGCCTGCGCTCTCTCTCTCCTCCCCCGCCCGTTCGTCTCCGTGCGTGCGTACGTGCGTACGCTCGGGGGTGGAGCACTGCAGGGGCGCTCCCTGATGTCACCGCGTCGACGCTGACGCCTGACGTCCGATCGCTGAATATGCAAATAAAAGGCGGAAGTGAGGCGGGTCAGGGGGCGGTGCCGTTAAACGGCTGTTGGCCGGAGCGTGGTTGGATTCCCACGCCCACCTTGGCTGCTGTCACCGTGTTCCTTCGTGACGTCTTGTACTTAGGTGGCTTCCCCTCTTAAAGGAGGCTCTTAATTAGTCCTAATTAGGGCTAATGAGTCCCAAATACGCTTTCCCCGCTGGTTAGAGCTCTCACTGGGAGTAAGAAGAAACCGACCATGTAGTGATACAGACCTGGGTTGGGATCCCAACTCCGCCGTTTACTTGCTTGTGATGTTAGGCGAGTGACGTAACCTTTCTGGGCATCAGTATTCCCGTCTACAAAATGGGAATTATAATTAACACCTTGTTGGGCAGTTGTAAGGCTTGCATGAGAATCTTGAATGTAGAAACAGTGAGTGGACCGTGATAGGTGCTTAGAATGGTGCCAGTCACAATAAGCCCCCAAGAAATAGCCTTTATTGCTCTGCAGGTCTGAACGCTGTTATCGCTAACTCCAGCCTGAGGGTGCATCTCATCCCCAGAAATAGTGAATCCCAGCTGAGGCCCAGAGAGGGGGCCGGGGGCCGGCAGAAGGTTTCTCAGCTCGCCCGGCGTCTTGGCTGATAAAACCATACCCGTTTTCAAGCAGCCCCACCTCCTCCACTGGTGGGCGAGAGTCCCCAGGGAGCTGGCTCAAGAAGTAGTTTAAGGGGGCGCCTGGGTGGCTCAATCGTTAAGCGTCTGCCTTCAGCTCAAGTCATGATCCCAGGGTCCTGGGATCGAGCCCCGCATCAGGCTCCGTGCTCCACGGGGAAGCCTGCTTCTCCCTCTCCCACTCTGCTTGTGTTCCCGCTCTCACTGTGTCTCTTTCTGTCAAATAAATAAAATCTTGTTTAAAAAAAAAAAAAAGAAGAAGTAGTTTAAGGACATGTCCCAGACTGTCCTCCTTTAGCCAACAGGGAGCAAGATCATATAAACAAGGTCAGGAAGGGGTTGAGAAATTTCTGGATGGCGGACTCTTGATGGGTAATTGAGAACGTCTAGGAGAGGCAGAAGGAGCGATGTGTAGGAGGAAACTGGTTCAGAAGGCAGAGTGGGGGGGGAGGGGGTTTCCAGGGGACCCAGGGCTTTCCTCGGCATCCACTCTGACTCCTTCAGTGTCCTTTGTCAAATCCCTGACACGGATGGACCTCCGTTTCTCCATCAGTAATAATGATGGTACTGACATGCATGAACCCAGATATTCTAAATTCCTTAAAATACCAAGGCTCCATAAAAAGAACCCTTCCAGGGCGCCTAGATGGCTCTGTCAGTTAAGAGTCCGACTCTTGATTTCGTCTGGGGTCATGATCTCAGGGTCGTGAGATCGAGCCCCGCAGGTCAGGTTCTGCGCTCAGCCAGGAGTCTGTTTGGGAGTCTCCTTCTGTCCCTCCCTCTGCCCCCACTCTCTCTCTCTAATAAATAAATAAAATCTTAAAAAAAAAAAAAAAAAAAAACAGGGGCGCCTGGGTGGCTCAGTCGTTAAGCGTCTGCCTTGGGCTCAGGTCATGATCCCAGGGTCCTGGGATCGAGCCCCGCATCGGGCTCCCTGCTCTGCGGGAAGCCTGCTTCTCCCTCTCCCACTCCTCCTGCTTGTGTTCCCTCTCTCGCTGTGTCTCTCTCTGTCAAATAAATAAATAAAATCTTTAAAAAACAAAAAACCACAACCCTTCCCCAAGATCCCTTCTGGACTGAAGGTGTGATAGAGCGTGGGGCCTATTCAAGGTCCATTATCTCCTTGGGACACCCCCCTTCCCATTTTACAGACTGGCCAGCTGAGGCCAGAGGAAGAAAAGGATTTATCCAAAGTTCCAGGAGTAATCAGAATGGAGCCAAGGCTGGAATTTCTGAAGTCCCAGCCAAGTCTTCTCCTGATTCCTGGGGTGTTAGTCAGGGGCCTAGGGGCCTACTCGGGGGCTGAGGTCCCTGTGATGGATTTAGGAAACTTCCAAACTGTACGTGACTTTTTTTCTGTTTATTTCACTGCTGTTTCCTCAGCTCCTAGAACAGTGCCTGGCACACAGTAGATGCTCAATAAATATTTATTGAATGAATGGGGATGAGCATTTGGTGGAGGAGTAGAGTGCAGGCTTTCATCTGATTCTCTGAGGGGACTGTGTTCCAAAAGGTTCTGTCTGGCCTTACATCTCCATCCCAGTAGCTTTATGGCTTTGGGGTGGGAAAATTGCTAAGCCCCATAGATCCCAGGCTTCCCTCTTTTCTCTCCGCACCCAATACCAAAGCCCCAACTTCCTGCATCGCAGTCACCGCCTCCCCACCCCCGCAAAACCATTTTCCTCATTAAGTTCATTTTCTTTCTCATTCCCCTCCTCCCTCCTCTTCCTTTCTCTGAGAAGGATTTCCAGGAACCTCTTCTGGGAACTTCTGGGACAAGAGGGTGTGTGTGGGGGGGGGAGGATCTTCACATCCCATCAGGAGCTTGGAGCCTGTTACACATCCATTGGGAGGAAGGGAGGGAGGTGACCTGTCAGAAAGGGCGAGGCCTGTCCAGAGCTGGGTGCCTACTCCGGCTCTCCAGCCTGATTATGGATGCCCATTCCTGGTGATCCCTGAGGGCCAGGAGAGAGGGAGCGTGACCCCATCAGCCAAGGCAGGCAGCCTCGGCCACCCTAGGGCATGGGAACAGAGGCAGAGATGGAGAGGGGAGGGGGAGCCCAGGATAACCCCAGCGCTGACTCACCAGCTGTGTGACCCTGGCCTAATCATTTGGCCTCTCCAGTGACCGCCGTGGAATAGGGCCTGGGATCATTCCCAGAGGTCCTTCCGGTTCGGGCCCCTTGGTCAACCTTTTTCTCAGGATGGGTAAGGGGCTCGTGTTACATAATCTCCAAAAGCCCTGTGCTTTCTCCATCATTTTAAAGTATTCCTTAAAAATAAATCCCAAAGCTGACCACTGTTCCTTGCTTACCCCACCCCCACCCTCACGCCACCCCACCCCTACCCCGTTCAGCTGCCCACATCTCCCGCCTGGACTATTGCAGTCACCTGTCACTGGCCTCGCTGGCCTCCAGGCTGCTGCCCTTCCCATATTCTGTTTCCCACTCAGGGGCCGCCGGGATCCTGTTAAAGTTTAAGTCAGATCCCATCCCTTCTTTGCCAAGAGCCCTCTTGTGGCTCTCCTTTATTTCAGAGTAAAAGGAAAAGTCCTCCCCAGGACCTACAAAACCCTGATCCAAAGATCGGCCAGTCCCTTGACAGTCCCTTGCCAGTCCCATCAATCATCCACCATTCCTCTCACCCTCCCGGCCTCCCACCTGCTCCAGCTGCACCACTCCACTTGCTCTCCCTCAAAACTCAGGTACTCTCTCGCTCCAGAGGCTTAGCACTTACTGTTCCCCCTGCCCAAAGTCCTCTTCCCCTTGACAGCCACAGGGCTGACCACTCCCCCCCCGCTCCCCACACCTGCTCTTTGTTCCAATGTCACCTTCCAGTGAGCCCTCCCCTGACCTCCTTCTCTAGATCCAAGTCTGTGTCATTCTCTGTCCCCTCAATCGGCTTTCTTTTTCCCCAGGACACTTATCAATTCCAAACATTATATTTATTTTTATTTACTTATTTACCATGAGCTCCATGAGGGTGGGGGCCTGGGCTGTCTTGGTCACCCTTGCGTCCCCAGCCCCAGCCAACACAGGGCTGGGCCGAGAGTGGATATAAATAAATCTCTATTGAATGAATGAATGAATGAATGAATGAATGAATGAATGAATAAATACCCTTCTCTTGTCCTGAGCCCCTTCCCAAGCCTGCCCTGCTCAGCTCTCCTCCAGCTGGTCTGCCCCGATTGCCCTTCACTTGGGTTCTGAGTCTGCCTCCCCCTCAGTCCTGACTTGGAAAATGCTGTTTATCTAGAAACTCACGCTCTTCTTGCCCTCACTCCCTCAGATGACCAGGGGCTTCCCAAGGGTGAAAATGACCACTCTCCCCTCGGTGAATTTCTTCTCCCGTCTTCCCCTTCAGTCCCCAAATTTTACCTCCTTGTTGGAAATAATCCTTTTTTTTTCCTCTCTCTCTTTTTGTCATTACCTTCTGGAGACCGAATATTTGACTTAATTTCCTTGTCCCCTCCTCCAGGGAGCCCTCCCTGACCCTCAGCGTGGGTCAGATGCCCTCTGGGCGCCCCTGTGTGAGCCCCATGCACTCTGGGTCTTCCCTGTCTGGGGACAGGTCTGTCTCCCCCATCGGAGTGGGAGCATGTGAAGGAGGGCCATTCGTCACCCCTGTGTCGCTAGCACCAGCCAGCACAATGCTAGGCACAGTTCAACCGAATTGTTAGGGGGTCATGGTAGAGGATGATGACTGACCCACTAGCCTCACTGTTCTCCTGTTTTTTTCTTCTACTCTTATGACTAGGAACACGGCCTCGTTTGCATACAGTTTGCTTACATCAGACCAGGAGGGAAGGGAGTGTGGGATAACATTCGAGGAGTGGGGGGGTTCTGCACGAGTGGAGGGTCACTGTGCGGGCGGCAGCGTCTTCAGCTGCACGTGGTCCGCTTGGGAGGGCGGAGCTGCCGCCCAGCCAGCTGCCATGGCCTTGGCCATGCTGTTCCTCTTGGAAGTGAGCGGGGTCTCCAGGGTGAGCGAGGCGTTGGCCATCTCCTGTGGTTTGTCACTGGCCAGGAAGTGGAGCAGGTTGTGAAGGGCCTTGGCCACATCGCTGCGGGCCCCCTCGTTGACGAGGCAGTAGAGGATGGGGTCAGCCACACAGTTGAGGCTGGTGAAGGCCAGCGAGCTGTGGTAGGCCGAGAAGATGCGCTCCTCGAAGCCACAGTCCCATGGGCGGCCCAGGTAGACAGCGCTGCGCGAGAGCAGGAGCACGTGGTAGGGCGCGAAGCAGACCAGCACGATGGCGATGAGGCTCAGGGCCAGCCGCTTGATCTTGGCCTTCTCCTGGCGCTCGGTGGACACGCTGCCCCGCACAGCCCGCAGGATGCCACAGTAAGACAGCAGCATGAGGGCCCACGGGAAGAGGAAGCCCACGAAAACCCGGTAGAGGTTCATCCAGGCCACCCAGCCCTCCATGGGGAACTTCTCGAAGCAGAAGGTGTGGTTGTAGCGGTCGCGGAAGAGCTCGTCGTGGAACAGGGGTGCCGAGTTGGCCCCCAGCTCCGTGGCCCAGACCACGGAGCTCACGGCCACGGCCGTCTTGACCCGGCGCAGGCGGGCAAACCGCAGTGGGTGGGCCACGGCCAGGTAGCGGTCCACCGAGATGCAGCACAGGAAGGCGATGCTGATGTAGATGTTGGTGTAGAAGATGAACCCGAAGAGCTTGCAGGAGCCGGGGCCGTGGATCCAGTTGTCGTGGTGCAGGAAGTAGTCAACCCACAGCGGCAGGGTGCAGATGTACAGCAGGTCGGCGATGCTGAGGTTCATCAGGTACACCCCCAGCTCGTTGCGCTGCCGCACCTGGCGGTAGGCTGCCCACAAGGCCAGGCAGTTGGTGGGCAGCCCCACGCCGATGACGAAGATGTAGAGGGACGGCGGGAAGAGGTGGTCCACGCGCGAGTCCACATGGCAGCCGTCCCACGTGCGGTTGCCCATCCTCGGCGCTGGGCCTTCTGAGGCACTTCCCCTGGCCCACGGGGGCTGTGGGGCCACGGGGGGCGGGAGGCCATCGGGCCCCCTGAGCCCCCTCCTTGGAGGCTCAGGGGAACATGGTGGGGGGCAGTCTACAGGGAAGAGGTGAGGGTGACCCTGAATCGTGGGCTAGCCTGGGCGGGGAAGGGTAGAGCTTGAGAGGGAAAAGTCGGAGGAAGGATAGAATTGTGACAGGAGGGAAGCTCAGGGCGGGGGATGGTGGGATTAAAAAAAAGGAGCTCTGTCAAGGGGGTGTTTATAGACCCAATCAGAGTGTAAATGAGGGAGTTTTGGGGTAGCACAAGAATTGGCTGAGGGGGGTGTTTATGGAGAAGATGAAGGCATCAGCAGAAAGTACTGTTTGGCCACAGTGAAGTGATGGGGGTGTGGAAGATGCGTGAAATATATGCGATAGTGTTGAGACAGGACAGACTACAGTTAGGGAGGGTAGAAAACACCAGGCACGGTCAGTGGGGGCGCTGGCGCTTCCTAGGACCCCCATAAGAAAGAAGGAAACAAGGTGACTGATGAAGAGAACATTATGGAAGAAGAGGTACCCTCTGGCTGGGAAATGGGAAGGGTGTTTAAGAAACAGGAAGGAGGTGAGTAAGGGCTATTATGGAGAAGGATTACGGATGGAGTGAGGAATTTGAGGGGGGCAGGGGTAGGGCTCCGGCTTGGTCGTGGTGAGAACTGAGCAGTTGGGATGAGGTGGCCCGCCTCACAGTTCAAAGCTGACTTTACAGTGCCTGTGGGGAGAGAGGTATGCGGTAATGGGAGTCACGGACACCCCTTTCTCCCCACACCCCTCACCATAACCCGCGGGCTGCAGAGGGTGGACACCCTGGCGATACCTAATTGAGCCTCGTTCTAAGCAACAGATCTGTGTAAATGCAGATTTGGGGGTCCGGATCTATTTTCCCTGACAGATGTTAAAGACCCCACTCAGGGGGCCCCTGGGTGGCTCAGTCATTAAGCGTCTGCCTTCAGCTCAGGTCATGATCCCAGGGTCCTGGGATTGAACCCCACATCGGGCTCCCTGCTTGGCAGGAAGCCTGCTTCTCCCTCTCCCACTCCCCCTGCTTGTGTTCCTGCTGTCGCTGTCTCTCTCTGTCAAATAAATAAATACAGGGACGCCTGGCTGGCTCAGTCGTTAAGCGTCTGCCTTCGGCTCAGGTCATGATCCCAGGGTCCTGGGATGGAGGCCCTCATCGGGCTCCCTGCTCAGCAGGAAGCCTGCTTCTCCCTCTGCCTGCCACTCCCCCTACTTGTGCTCTCTCTCTCTCTCTGACAAATAAATAAAATCTTTAATAAATAAATACATACATACATACATACAATCTTAAAAAAAAAAAAAAAGCATATAAAGACCCCACTCAGAATTTAGCTAGAAACCATCTAAAACGCACAAGTATTTTATCATGTTTCAGGAAATGCTAACCCTGTCATTTCCCAGACAGAGATGAAGCTCAGAAAGACTGCTCACTCCCATCAAGGATGCACAGCAAAGCCATGACATAACGGGGACTACTAACCCAGGACACCCCATTCTTGACAATGATAAAGACAGATAATAACAGCTAAGGTTTATTGATTTATTCCACATCGCAGACCCTGTTCTAAGCACTTTTATGGGTATTAATTCATTACATTTTCAAGAACCCTAAGAGGAAAGTACCATTATCCTATTTGACAAACTGAGTCACAGAGCGGTTTGGAGACCTGTCCAAGGTCCTGATGATGACAGAGGGACAATCTCGACTCTCATCCTTTTTCTGCAGCCTGTGCATGTTTCCACCCAAGAATAACTGAACAGAAAGGGGCCCTGGGCTGGGCACTGGGGGCTGGGAACCATAGCTGCTTTGGGCTAGCGGGGAGAGGGGAGAAAGGAGGGGCTGCTGGGTGTGATCACATTCAGGCAGCAAGGGGAGCCCTGGAAACAGGGCTGGAGTCCCTCCCTCAAGAACACTTCCCTCATTGCCTCTGCTCCACCCCAACTTTCCTGAGTGAGAACCTTGGGCATGTCACCCCCTTGGGAAGACCTGCAAACACAGGGCAAAGGACAGTCATGGACCAAACCTCCGACCATTGTCAGCCCCAGAGGGTAGGGGAGTGACATCCTGAATCAGAGGCACCTTCGGAAGCCACTCTATCCAGAGCTTTGTGTGGGGTTAGTTTTTTAAGCTGTGAACACTTTTATTATTGTTATTATTACTATCTATTTAAAATAAGATCTTAAACTGGAAAGCCATCTAAGACAATGGAAAAAAGAAGCTGCTCTGTGCTCTCAATGAAATCAGGTGGGAGGAGGGGGGCCACCTCTGAAGAATCCCCCAGGACACACTTAGAAAACCACTGGTTGAGTCAACTGGATTTATCAGGAAACTGAGGCCCAGAGAGGGGAAGGGATGAGCCCAGCGTCACACATCAGGTTCTTGGGAATCTCCCAGATGCCAAAGCATCTTTCCATGGGAAAGTCCTCTTGGCTCTACCTCCACAATAAACCCTGAATCCATGCATGCCTCTTGGAACCCCCTGCCAGTGTCTGCTCTGCAGCACCATCGCCAATTGCTCGATTGCTCGGACAATTGCAGTAGCTCCTCACTGCTTTTTCTGGCTGCCATTCTGGCTTCCTTCAACTCACTTCCCACAAGGCAGCCACCAAGGTCTTGTTAACATGAAAATCAGCTCTCATTATTTCTCTGCTTGAAATCCGGAAATCCCAGTGGACTTCGGGTAAAATCCAAACTCCTTGCCCCAGGTGACAAGGCACTGCTTGACCTCCTCCCCCCACCTCCCCTCCCCCACCCCAGCAGGCTCAAGACCCATGACCTTCTTTTCAGCCTCAAAACCTTTGCTCTTTCTCAGATCTTCTTAGGACTCAGCTCTCTCACCTCTTTCACTTCCCCGCAGAGTCCCACCCACCCACCCCCAGGGCTCTCTCCTCACATCACCTTGTATCTTGTTCCCATCTATCTGTCTGTCTGTCTGAAATGGACATTCCAGGAAGGCAGTAACCTTGTGTTGACTGCTGTCTCCCAGCACCCAGGAGAGGCCCAGCATATAGTAGACACTCAATAAATGACTGTGGGTTGAAGGAACAGGCATTGGTCAGCCCATCCTGCAATGCAGGCTCTCTCTCCCCCTGAGGCAGCTACAAGTTCAAAGAAGTCCCTGCAGAGTCCCACAGAAAGAGGTTGGAAGGGAAAAAAATGAAAAGGGCAGGATCTATCCGCTACATAATTGACTTTGAAAGGTCAGGGCTGAGTCCCTGCTTAGTAAGCCCTACCCCCTGTGGGGTCCTTAGCAACCCAGCGGCTGCCCCCACCCCAGGCTGCCCCCACCCCAGACTCGCAGACAGAGGTTCCTGGATCCTGTGGACAAAGGGTGGAGACAGAGCTTGCTCCCCGGCTTGAACAGTGCAATCCAGCCCCTCCCTTCGAATATTCCCCACCCAGACCAAGTCACTCAAAAAAAAAAAAAAAAAAGTCCTCTCTCTGCCCTCAAATCTCCCCTTCTCTCTGACCCCTGGTCTCCTCCTCTCTCACCTTCTGTCTCTCCCTCTTCTTGTAACATCGAGAAAATTCATTCTTTTTCGAGAGTCTCCGTTTCCCCTTCTGTATAAGGGGGGGGGGCAGAACTTTTATACTATTCACATCACAGACAAGAAAATCCTTGATAGGACATCCTATCATCTACAAAATGTGCAGCATTTGAACAATTATTATTATTCCATGGGCACAGAAGAGCTGAGACCAGAAAGGAACCAAGGCTGGGAGTTCCCTTGGCCCCACGCTGTCCAAACCCCCTGGGTTCAGCTGAGGCTGGAGCGGGTACAACAGGCGTAAGACTTATTTCCGGAAGCCAAAGGAAATACACTTCTCATGGCTAATTTCCTTGAGGGGAACCAGCTGGGCACTCACCTCACCCTCCTCCGTCCCTCCTCAACCCACCTGCTTCCTGGGGCTTCTGGGCATGGGGAAGGGGTACTCAGCCCTCTCTTCTCCCCACCTGAGATCTGCCCACCATCAAACCCTCAAAATCACAGAACGGAGACTCTAAGAATTCCACAATGCCACAGGTCTCTATGCCCCAACTGGGAGTGCAAGGCTATTTCTGACCCCTTCCTGGTACACGTGGGGAAACTGAGGGCCAGAGCAGCAAGACCCTTGTCTGAGTCATGTGATGTGTCAGGACCGGGCAGATCTCCCGTCATTCTTAACCCAAGAGCTTCCCCTTTCCCCGAATGTTTTCTCTCCTCACTCCCTGTGCTCCTGTAATGTTTCTCAAGTCTTTCTGGGGTTGTCAGCCCCCTTTGAGAATCTGCTAAAATATAGAAGGAAGGACTTTCTCACCACCGAAAAGCAAGTGACCACAGTGTCTTTGTGCCCCTCCAACACCTGATTCCCTTGCCCAGCCTCTGGGGGGTCAAGCTCCTCTTCAGCTTGAGCTTTATTTGGGATTCAACCCCCAAATCTTTAAAAAGAAGCTCTCCCTATCCCCCAGGCCCCCTTCTTTGGTCCCTGCTAGCCCCTCCCAGGAAAGGGCAGAGAGATAAGCTCAAGTGTGGAGTGATAGTGAGGGGACCAGAAGGACCGGTCAGACCCCGGCCCCTGCTTTATGCCTCAGCTGCTCAAGCCAGATAAGTCTCTGGGCCACTCTTAAATCCAGCAAGGCTAAAGGACTCTGGAGGGTTGAGAGGACCAGAGGGAGAGGTGATGCAGCTCCCCCCATCGCTGGCCACCCTCAGGGTTCACTCACCAGCCTTGTCCTAGAAGCCACCAGACTGCCTCTCTGCCCCCCTTCCCTCCTCTGTCGGCTCCTGCTTACCGCCACCCCCTTGGCAGCCCCGGGGGACAGGCCAGCTCCGGTCTGCTCATTAGGGGACGAAATGTGATCACCGCGCCTCGCTCCCCACCTGGTGCCCTGGCGGCCGGCGGAAACCAGGGGGCAGTCAGGCCTCCGTGACCACCTCGCTGGGCCTCAGTTTCCCCATTTCTACCAAAGGGGTCCCCATCTCCCCCCCCCCACTCCCACACCACCCAAAAGGGACACCAGGGTCCTCCTACTCGACCCCTCCGACACCGTCCATTCCAGCACTCAAAAAATCCTCAGGATCTATTGTCCTGTTCATGGTTTACTGTTCTATTATTGTAACATTCTAGAGCTTTACCTTTCTTCCATTCTATTATTATTATCCTAGCGGCTTTCCATGTCCTTCCCCTTCAAGTTTCTAATATTCCAGGAGTCTCACATTCCAAGATTCTAAAGTTCTATTGTTAGAACGCTCTATGATTTTTTTTAAACATTCTACGACTTTCATCATCTATTATTAAACTCTCAGTGATTATTATCTTGGCCCAGCAAACACAAATACGTATTTCCCCTCTTTTTTTACAGAAATGGGAACACACTCTACATACCGTGAATCCCTCTTCCTTTTCCCCCCTTTTCTCTTCTGCTTGTTAACCGCCCAGCAGCCTGAAGGCCCAAGGTGGCACAGAATTCTAAAATATGGGGGGTTCACGGGAGGTTGGGGGGAGTGCGCTGTCACCTCCACCTAGCTCCTAAATTCTCCCTGCCCTGGGGAACTAGTAGGAGCCCAGAAGCCTAGGCTGCCTCCATCCCCTGGCCGCCCTGCTGGCCTGCCCTCATCCCTCCAGCTCGCTCACACCAGCTGAGTTATTATTTGTCTAGACACAAACCAAATTATAGGCCCTGTCCCGAGGGAGCAGTGGGCTTCATGGGGAGGGTCAGGAGACAGAAGCGGGCCAGAGTTAATCCCTGCCCCCCCCCATTTCCCTTCCCCTCTTCCCTCCTTCTCTGAAAATCCACCCCTCCCACCCAAACCAACTCTTGTCCCCTCTCCCCTCCCCAGCACCATGGTTTGGGAAATATTTTCTCTTCTCTGCTTCTCAAAGGCTCCCCTCTGGATTCCAGCTTTTCATACTCACCCTGGCATTCTTCCCTCCTCACTGTGAAGACCTCTTTTCCCAAATTAATCCGACTTAGTGGCAGCAAAGGAAGCCAGCTCTCTGGATTTGGGCTTCAGTTGAAATGGCACGGACTCATTGTGAGGACTTCGGCTCCTGGGCCTCAGTTTTCCCATCTGTAACATGGGTGCTTGACCTCGATGGCTCGGTAAGCCCTTTGAGCTCTCTCTGCTTGGAACACTGAAAGCTGCCCAAGATTCCGACACTAATCTTTTTGGATTGAAGGATTCATATATCCTGAGGACTTGTGATTTGAAGGTTGTGGAGCCCCAGTCCTCCCTCTGATCATTCTCACATCCTGAATCTTTCCATTCAAAGACTTCACACCTAACGGTTCTTGATTACGATTCCCAGAGTTCAAGAGCCACCCATCATCCCTCTCATTTCCTCCTACTGGGACCCTTCAGAAAGGGAAACCTCCCCATCCTCAACCCAAACCTGAAGTTGAGTTCATCTGCAGAGACAGAGCTTGGGAGGTACCCTCTTGGTGGGTTCAGGAGGGGGGGGCTGGTGGTGGGGGTCGAGTGGCGTGGGGGCGCTAGGGGGTGGCCCCTATCATCTCCATCTGTGCCAGCAAGTAAATCCCCCAGCGCACATCCTGCCTGAGTACACAACACACATCCCGCCCCGAACAGTGGCTCACAGAAATTCCAGAGCTGTCCCTCAGCCTTGTTGGGGGTGGTGGGATGTCCAGTGCAAGCAGGGGGTGGGGGGAGTGAGGTGGAGGCAGGAAGGAGTTAATGGTGACCTAGCCAAATCCTGGAAGGGAGGAAGTGGGGGAGGAAGTCTACCCCCCCAGCCAGGAATTCCTGAAATTGGAGGGTGGGGTGGGTGCGACCTCAGGAGCAGTGGGGTGACTCTCTAAAGGGGGCACTGGGGTTACAGTGTCCCTCAGAGTCCACCTGTCCCAAGGCAACCCTACTCCCCCCCCCCCTCCCACTCCCAAGCAGCTCCTCAGCCCAGCGGAAAGCTTGGGGATGCACCAGAATTTGGAATGAGATGACGATGGGGTCAAGGTGCCAGAAGAGGGTCTCAAGATACACAGAGTAAGAGACAGAAATACAGGAGAGAGACAGGAAGAGAAAGCGCAAAGAGATGCACAGAGACAGGGAGAACCACGGAGTTGGAGGCAGAGGGATTGAGCTCGAGAGACTGAGGGTTAGAGGCAAAGGGAGACGGGGAGAATGGGTACAGAGACGGAGAGAGAGCCAGAGCCAGAGCCAGACGGAGAAGCAGAGAGAAAGAACGAGACACAGAGACATCCAGAGCTGCAGAAGGAGAGGCCCACCCGGAGGGAGGGAGGACCGCAGACAGCGACCCATCCGAGACGGGCGGAGAGAGGGAGACAGACCCACAGACACGGTCCGCGGGGAGACGGCGGGAGCGCCACCACCGGAGAGGGGCGGGGACCGGCCGGCGCGGGAGACTGAGGCACCGACGCAGGGGCGCAGAGCCCCCGAGGGGAGCGCCGAGGAGGGGCCCCGCGGGGGCCGGACGCCCGGCGCGGGCAGGGGAAGGAGAGGCGCCTACCTGCGCGCGGCGGCTGGACGGGGCGGGCGGCGCCTCTCTCGGCTGCGGCGACGTCTGGGCTCGACCGCGGCGCAGGGACCCGGGGGCGACTCGCTCCGGCCCCGGGCAGGAGCCGCCGGCCGAAGCCCCGCCCCCGACAGCCCCGCCCCCGTTAACCCCTCCCTTGGCACCGCCCCTTAACCCCTTCGGGCTTTCACCCTACTCCAGGCTTCCAGCCCCGGGGAAACCTCACCTGCTGCCGCAGCAACACCCCCGAACCCCTCCGAGTCCCCAGCCTGGAGGCCCCCATCTCCTTAACCCCTTTGCTTCCCCTCCGTCCAACCCCACACCTCCTGCTTGACCAAGCCCTCACTCAGCCTTTGACCCTCCTTGAGCTGAGCCATTTCCTCCCCTCTGAGACCCGAGTCCTTAACTTTCTGGTCATTGCCTGCCTCCCTTCCCAAGGGAGAGGACAAACGAGTCTAAGTCCTCCCTCCTGGGGTCAGGGCCACCTCTGTAAGGAGTCCTGTCTCTTGGCTAGCCAGACCTTAGGCTAATGGCCTCTCTGCGCCTCAGTTTCCTCTTCTGTCAAAGTGGTCACTCAGTCTCTTTGTCAATACTATCAAGTCAATAAAACATACCCTCGCCCTCGCGCCCAGTGCTTTCCATTCCTCCCCGTTTTATTTACTTTTCCCCACAGAACTTTTTAAATTATCTGTCCCCCCACTAGATGGGGGAGGAGTCATTTCTGCATCTGGTTTGTTTACTGTTGTGTGTCTGTTGCCTGGAAGGCGGCTAGGCACAGGATAGGTATGCAAGACATGTTTTCAGGGAGTGAATACATAAGGGTAAAACAGTATTTGCTGATTTTTATTATGATCATCACATCCTTCATAAATTGGTCGTGAGAATTCATTCTTGGTCAAAGCACTATGGACAGACCTGGCATCACATAGCACTCAGAAATGACAGCTATTGGGTTCACAAATTCTTTCTTTTCTTTTTTTTTTTAGAGAGGGAGAGAGCGCAGGAGAGCCAGGGAGGGGCGGTGCAGAGGGAGAGAGAGAATCTCAAGTAGACTCCATACTGAACATGGAGCCCGACATGGGGCTTGATCTCACTACCCTGAGATCATGACCTGACCGAAATCAAGAGAGGGATTCTTTTTTTTTTTTTTTAAGATTTTATTTATTTGACAGAGAGAGACAGTGAGAGAGGGAAAACAAGCAGGGGGAGGGGGAGAGGGAGAAGCAGGCTTCCTGCTGAGCAAGGAGCCCGATGTGAGGCTCAATCCCAGGATCCTGGGATCATGACCTGAGCCGAAGGCAGACGCTTAATGACTGAGCCACCCAGGCGCCCCAAGAGAGGGATTCTTAACCGACTGAGTCACCCAAGCGCCCTGTTCTCAAATTCTTTTTTCTTTCATTCTTTTTTTTTTTTAAGATTTTATTTATTTATTTGACAGAGAGAGAGACAGCGAGAGAGGGAACACAAGCAGGGGGAGTGGAAGAGGGAGAAGCAGGCTTCCTGCAGAGCAGGGAGCCGGATGCGGGGCTCGATCCCAGTACCCTGGGATCATGACCTGAGCCGAAGGCAGACGCTTAACGACTGAGCCACCCAGGCGCCCTAAGGTAGCTATTCTTAAAGTCATTTACTGCGTGCCCTTGGACAAGTGACTTCACCTCTCTGAGCCATATTACCTACTTCTCAGGGCTCTTGAGGGACACAGAAAGTGAGAGAGTTAACTAAGCACCCAAGCAATGGATAGGCAAATAAAGGCATTTTCCTTTTGTCTTCCCTCAAGGAGACAGTCAGGGAAAGCACGAAGGGAGGTATCAGATCAGGAAGGCTGTAGCCCCTCCCCACAAATAACCCCATACACATCCTATCGTTCTCAAGACAAGTCCCACAGGGCCCTCCTGTCAGAACCTTGGTCATTCCAAGCTCCTCCTAAAAAGAAATTCTAAGGGTCCACTGGGAGGTGAGGATCCCCTTCTCTCTTGGGCTCACCCTAGGTTTCTGCTGATCCAGTCCTGGTAGGAAATAGGTGGCCATTCAGAGCTTAAGTGGGAGCACTTATGAAGGGACATTTCAGAGGGGTGGGCAGGCTGAAGGAACCCACACAGTGTGGGGCGGTACCAAGGGACCAGCCACAGGGAGAGCCAAGCCGTTACCAACCTTAGGGCAGGAAGCTGGAGTTTGGAGAGGAGCCCGTAGAACCTATAACTCTAGGTAGAGAACACAGCCACTTCCAGAACAGCAGGGATGCAAGGACAGGCCCCCCCAAATACTCCCACCTCTCTCCTCCTACATTCTGATTTCCTGTCAGTGCTTCCAGTTGGCAGAACCCAATCAGAACGTGGAGGGCAAGGGAGCCCCATGGATGGAGTCCACACGGGGCAGTCTCCTAAGGTCCAGAGCAGGAAGAGAAAGGCTCAGAGTGACTCTGGGCCGGAGGCAGGGGGGGGGGGGGGGGGCGGGGACGGGTCACAGGGAGAGAATCGCATTTCTTCTTCCACGCAGGTCTGAGACTGGGCACAAGAGGGCGACAGAGCACCAAGAAAACCAATGAAAAGGCTGCTTCACTAGCCCCGGCCCTCCCCCTCCAGAACTTGGACCGTTGAGAAGGGTCAGAATGTGGGGGACAGTAAAGGAGACTTTGATCCGAGAGCGGCAGAAACTGGCTTCTGAAACCTGGAGATCTGGAGGGGTGATATAACGGCTGAAGTGGTGGTGGCTGAGTAGGAGTTCTCCACGTGGACGCGTTCAGGCGTAGCAGGGTGGGTGCAGAGGGAACAGCATGTACAGAGGCTCTGAGGCGCGAAATGTCACAGGGAAGGGCAAATACGGGTGACTCAAATGGTTGGAGATTAAAGATGGGGACAGGAGAGAATTCTGGCTGAAACAGCAAAGAAGACAGGATTGGGGGGGGGTCAGCTAACATGCAAAGAGCATTGACTGCATTCCAGGCATTATTGTAAGCACTTCGAATGAATATCTCATTTAATCTTCAAAAAACCCTACAGGGAGTTACCATTTCACAGATGAGAACATTGACACACAGATGCTGTCAAAAGGCAGCAATTTTGGCAGCTGGGTTCTGATGCTTTAACCACTGTTACACTATTTCTCAGGGTGGGAAATTGAGGGTTGAGGCATTTGAACTTCAATCCCCTTCATATAAGACACAACTCTTTCACACACTTCAACACACACAGAAAACTCGAATATTCATTCAGCAAACATTCCCTGAGCCCCCGCTGCCGTGCTAGGCAGCTCTGGGGACACAACAGGGACCACAACAGCTGTGGCCCTTCCCTCCCAGGGCTGGCAGCCTGTGTGGGGGTGACAGATCTATCCCTTACAGTGACCTCTCAGGTCAGGGGGGATGCTGGAACCCAGAGGGGCTTTGTCAGTTTGTTGGGGAAATAGGAGGAAGGGAGAACAAAACCCTCAGAACTTGCACCTGAAACACTCCCCTCACTTGGTTCATTTCTTCCTTGTCCTTCAATATTCAACTCGGTTGTCCCCTCCAGGAAGCCCTCCTGGTTGCCCCCTTGGTCTTCCTCTGCCCCCTCAGGGTCACCATTGTCTGAGGATGGATCTGCCTTCCCCACTGAACTGTGAGTACCTTGAGGACAGGACCGGGGCTGTCTCACTCAGCACTGTCCAACCATTGCCCAGCTCAGGGCCTGGCCTAGAATAAATATGCTCCAAAAAATAAAAAATAAATTGAAAAAAGAATAAATATGCTCCTTGCCCTATTAAAGAATTCATTCACTCATTAATCAATACATACATTTGTCCAGCATTTACTGCATGTTAGACACTGTGCTGGGCGCTGGGGATACAATCTTAAAAATTAGCCAAAATCCTCACCCTCGTGGGCAATTGGTTAGTGAATGATTGATTTCTGGTCATATTAACTGAGATCCAATAAGAAGAAAAAACTCTCTAAAGGCCTGAGATATAAGGGGAGCCACTCTAGTTTTGTTGTTGTTGTTTTTACGATTTATTTGAGAGAGAGAGAGAGCACAAGTGGGGTGAGGGGCAGAGGAAGATGTGGGGCTCGGTCGCAGGACCCTGGGATCATGACCTGAGCTGAAGGCAGACGCTTAACCGACTGAGCCAAGCACCCCGCCACTTGAAGATTTCTTTCTAAGTCAGCATGATGATACATAACTTTGTTGAAACCAAAAGCCTGATTTATGGCTCATCAAGCATACATTGTGCACCTGCTTTGCAAACAAATAGCCTAAGGGAAAACCATCTTGTCCTTAAGATACTGATCAGGGGCGCCTGGGTGGCTCAGTCGTTAAGCATCTGCCTTCGGCTCAGGTCATGATCCCAGGGTCCTGGGATCGAGCCCCGCATCGGGCTCCCTGCTCCACGGGAAGCCTGCTTCTCCCTCTCCCACTCCCCCTGCTTGTGTTCCCTCTCTCGCTGTCTCTCTGTCAAATAAATAAATAAAATCTAAAAAAAAAAAAAAAAGATACTGATCAGGGTTCCTACTCCCTGCATTCCTTTTTTTTTAAGATTTTATTTATTTATTTGAGAGAGAGAGACAGCGAGAGAGGGAACACAAGCTGGGTGAGTGGGAGAGAGAAGCAGGCTTCCCGCGGAGCAGGGAGCCAGAAATGGGGCTCGATCCCAGGACCCTGGGATCATGACCTGAGCCGAAGGCAGACGCTTAACGACTGAGCCACCCAGGCGCCCCTCCCTGCATTCCTTGACATTAAAACTTGTGATTCCTGCCTGTATGTTAATTTATAATCTTTTGAGCTTTGACAAGATGTAAAGAAGATAACCCTCTAAAAACTGTTGATTCTCCGGAGCATGTTTCCCAGGCAGCTGTCCTAATTTGGGCTCAAATAAAACTCTCTTTCTTACTTTTAGAGATACTAAAGAGGGGCACCTGGGTGGCTCAGTTGGTTGAGCGTTTGACTTGCTCTCAGTTCAGGTCTTGAT